GTAGGAGACAGTGAAAGGATTAAGAAACATACAAGAAAATAAAGACTAGTATATAGAGAATGTTATAAGTTTACAAGACCTACCTGTCATGTTACATAATCATGAGACAGGAAGAATAGACCAACAATTCTACCAGTGTGAAATGTTTAATATGCTTCCATTTAACATTCATATGGCAGGATGGTAGTACCACATGAATGGTTGCTATCTGCCAACCTACTGCACTGTAAAATAATTTTCAGTATTTGAGACTTTATTTAGATAAGGGCATTAATTAAGAATTTAATGTGAGAGAGAATTATTCATACCTTTGAAATGCACCAGATGGTAAGTAACTCTTTGGTGTAGAGTAATGATATACAGTGGTCCCTCATTTTTCATAATAAATCTGTTCCAGAGAGTGTGACTATTATCGAAATTGACGATTTGTGAAACCATTTTCCCTATAAGAAATAATGTAAATACAATTAATCCATTCCAGGCACCCAGAAGTATTAAAACAAAATAATTTTTTTACATGAAATATAGATGTACATACACAGAAAACAATGAGACATGAAGAATGAAACATTAACAGCATAACACTTACCTTTATTGGAGATTCTTCTTAGTGTATGGAAGACTGGAGGAGGAGAGAGGTTGGATTAATTACTGTTTGAAAGAAGAATTTGCTTCCATAAAGACTTCAGGTACCAAGTCCTTTTCCGGGGTTACTTCCCTTCTTTGTTTTTTAATGCCACTAGGACCAGCTTGAGAGTCACTGCACACCTGTGGCACTAAATACTTGTATAGAGAGCTCTGTTTTTGGCGTCTCTTTAAAATTTCCCTAAAATATGACAAGACTTTGTCATTATACATGTTGCTGACACAGCTTGCAAGAGCTTTGTCAGGGTGATGTTTCTCCACAAATCTCCATCCTACTCCACATTGCACAAATCTCCTTAATTTCTGAAGAAGGCACCTTTGTCCATCTCTCTCCCTCCTCCTCTGAAGCAACATGCTGAGCTGCGGTCTGTTGCTATTCCAGCTGAAGCTCTTGCAGCTCTTAAGTGGTTAGCTCTTTGTTATGGTCCTCCACCAACTCTTCCACATCCTCGCCACTCACATCCAGCCCCATGGAACTCCCCAATGCCACAATAGATTCCACAACTAGCAAAGGGTCCTCAGGGTCAGCCCCAAACCTTTCAAAATCCCTCTTCTGGACACACACTGGCCACAAATTTCTCCAAGTAGAGTTCAAAGTCCTGGAAGTCACTCTCTCCCTAGCCTTACCTATAAGGGTTGTGCAATGGAGGATACTGAAGTGATCTTTCCAAAACTCTCTTAGGGTCAGTTGAGTGTCTGAGATCACATTAACCCTTTCAGGGTCCAAGGCCAAAATCTGAAGTGATGCCCCAGTGTCCAAGAATTTAAAAAAAAAAAAATTGTTATTTTTTCTTATGAAATCGTAGAGAATCTTTTTGTGAATGTAATAAAACAAAAAGTACGAAATTAGATGGAAAACTGACGAAATTATGCTCTCGTGAATTTTGATGTGTCAGCGATATTTACGAATCGGCGATTTTGCCGACTTTGACTCCCATTTTAGGCCAATTACATTATTCCAGTCGACCAAATTCTAAGCTATTTCACTAGTATTAGTTCTATTCTATCGACTGAGCACAAGAAATCGCCAAGTCAACTGTTTCAACTACAAAATAAAGTGACCGGAAATTGGTAATTTGGCCAATTTAACACAAAGTTCAAAATATTCCAATTTCAAAATAGGGTCCAGAATAAACAATGTAGGTATTCCTGGCACTAAACTAACATTAACTCTGTTCATTAGTTACGTTTTGAGGCTTTACAAATAAATTCCATTTTGATTTTTTATTCACATAATGAATTTTTATTCACACCAAAAAATAGAAGATTTACTGTTATGCAATACTGTAATAATTGTATAAATATCATCACCACATTTGTGAATGTATATTAGACCCACCAGCTGATGTGTATTAGACATGTGAGGTCGTTTGTTTACTCTTGAACATTGGCAAAAATTTAACATTTCCGCCACTTTGAGCTCAGTTTCACGCCATTTCCAGTGCTAACACCAATCAAAATTATCTCTATTTCTGTAATATGTCTTCCATTCTATCAAATGAGACCAAGAAATCACAGATACAACTATAAAAACATACGAAAAAACACTGCAAAGTCGCTGTTTTAATCGAAAATCATGGTCTCAGTTTTTTTTCTCTCATTATACACAGTGTGCTGCAGGATTTGTTTTATGTGGTGCACACATACCACATAGATATATTCTCTCATATCTAGGCCCAAATTTACCACTCACAGTTTATCAGAGTGAGCTGAGCTCATGACGTAGATCTACGGTTTGGACCCTGAACGTAAAGCCATAGATCTACGGGACGGACCCTGAAAGGGTTAAAGCACCTTTGAAACATTGCTTTGGTGTAGAGTTTTTTAAAAGTTTGAAATGATCTGCTTGTCCATGGGCTGGAGGAAAGGAGTGGTATTAGGGGGGGCAAAAATTTCACTGTGAGGAAACCAAACTCCTCCACAGTTAGGTCATCCAAGTTTGGAACACGAGCAGGTGCATTGTCCATTAGCAGGAGGCACTTGAGTTCCAATTTATTTTCCAGGAGGTAGTTCTTCACACTAGGGCCAAACACTTCATTAAGCCACTCGAGGAAAATGTCCCACGTGACCCATGCCTTATTAATAGCTTTCCAAAACACACACAATTTACTCTTCATGACATTGTTTTTCTTAAACACTCTGGGATTTTCAGAGTGATACAATAGTAAAGGCTTCACTTTGAAATCCCCATTAGCATTACTACAAAACATGAGAGTTAGCCTGTCTTTCATAGGCTTGTGTCCTGGGAATGCCTTTTCCTCCTGAGTAATGTAGGTCCTCTTTGGCATTTTCTTCCAAAAGAGGCCTGTTTTGTCACAATTGAATACTTGTTGGGGGAGGAATTGTTCAGTCTGTATGTACTCCTTGAATTCACTTACAAATTTTTTAGCTGCATTTTTGTCAGAACTGACAGCCTCACCATGCCTTATCACACTGTGTATGCCACTACATTTTTTAAATCTTTCAAACCAGCCTTTGCTGGCCTTAAAATCACAAATATCAGTACTCATTGCAGGTAATTTCTTTACGAGATCGTCATGCAAGTGCTTTGCTTTTTCACAAATAATTGACTGCATGAGACTATCTCCTACTAATTGTTTCTCGGTGATCCACACCAACAATAACTTTTCAACATCTTCAAGTACTTGCAATCTCATTTATGTGAGCATATTTACCCCCTTTGCAACAGCAGCTTCCTTGATTTCCTTTTTCTTGCCCACAGTGGAAGCGATGGTTGTATGGGGTTTCTTATACATCCTGGCTGTCTCTGCCACACGTATGCCACTTCCATATTGTTCAGTGATGTTTCTCTTGAATTCTATCGTATTTCTCACCTTCTTTACCAAAGGTATGGCACTAGGAGCTTTCTTTCGAGCCATGGTGGCTTATTTAGCAGTTGCAAGCACTAAAATTAATGGAATATTATGAAACATATCATATGAATGTGTGAGGTGGTGGTCACTTGCTGATAAACAATGGCACACTGGCTGGGAATGGAGTGTGAGGCTGCTCGGGGCCGTGCATATGTGTCCGGGACAAACGACTGTTTGCAAGTCAAATGACGATTCACGAGTCAATGTTTTGACAAAAAAAGTTACGATTTTCGAAAATTATGACTATCGATGCTTACAAAAAAACGGGGGACCACTGTATTACGGTGGAACCCTGGTTTTCGTCCAGTCCAGTTATCATACAATTCAGTTTTTGACCGCTTTTTTCAGCTAAATTTTCCCCTTGTTTTTGTACATCTGCTCAGAAATTGTCCATACCAGATGCGTCCGCCTGCCCATGGGACACGGCTGCTCATACGTTCATGACTCAGACTGCCTTTGTTACTTGTTCAACAAGCATTACTCCACACGTTTATCCGAAACACTTTCTAATAATCCATTGTTTTTTGTGCTTGCGACTGCTAAATAAGCCACCATGGGGCCAAAGAAAGTTCCAAGTGCCAGCCCTTTGGTAAAGAAAGTGAGAAACATGATAGAATTCAAGAAAGAACTCTATTGTGTCTTTGGGAAAGTCCATGGGGTTGGAGGTGAGTGGCCAGGAAGAGCTAACCACTGAAGAGCTGCAAGACCTTCATCTGGAACAGTAACAGACCTTAGCTGAGGAAAATTGCTTCAGAGGAGTTGGAAGAGAGAGGGAAGAATGTGCCCTCTTCAGCGATTAAGGACATTTGTGCAAAGTTTTGTGGAGAAATATCACCCTAACAAAGCTGTTGTAAGCCATGTCAGTAACATGTTCACTGACAATGCCATGTTGCATTTTAGGCAAATCTTAAGGAGACGCCAGAAACAGGCCTCTCTGAACAGATTTTTTGTGCGACAGGGGGTCCAGTGAGACTCAAGTTGGTCCTAGTGCCAGTAAAAGACAAAGAAGGGAAGTAACCCCAGATAGGGCTTTGATACCTGAAGTCCTTATGGAGGGGGATTCCATTTCCAAACAATAACCTCTCCTCCCTCTTCCCTCCTCGCCATCTTCTATACACCAACAAGAGTCTTCAATAAAGGTAAAAGTGATGTTAAATGTTCATTTATCCATTTCATTAGTCATTTATATTTATTTCTCATTATTTTCTGTATGTAAAACTATAGTTATTCTCTATAAAATGTATTTTTTGTTAATATTTTTGGGTGTCTGGAATGGATTAATTTTATTTACATTATTAATTGTGGGAAATATTACTTCAGTTTTCGTACAAATCAGTTCTTGGCCAAACTTCTGGAATGGATTAAAGACAAAAACTGGGGTTCCACTGTATTTTGAATGTACAAGTATAATAAATATAGTTTTTTATCAGTCTTTAGTATACATGAATAATACTTCTGTAGGAAATATTTTTTTCCATGTAGGGTGGCACTGTTAGTGGAAGTGTAGTTGGTAAAGCTGTGGGGAATACAGTAGCAGGCAGCAGTGTGACAGCATCAAGCACTCAAGGTATCAGCACTTCTCACACCACCAAGTTGGTACCCATGACCATTGCCTCACATCAGCAACAGCCTATCAAGCAAACTATACAGGTACGGGAATTTGTAACTATCATGCTTTTTTTCTGAAGTTTGTTTTAAATATTGAGAGTGTGTTGAGAATCTGCAATTGAATCAAAATATTCTTGCTTGCAAGCAATGTACAGGTTTGGTATGTATTTGAAATTGTAAAATTTAAGATTTTATTCCACAAATGGAATTGTTAAAATAAAGGAAGAAAGTTGAAAGTGAACATAGATAAGAGTAAGGTGATGAGGGTTTCAAACACATTTGGTAAAGAAAAATTGAATATCACATTGAAGGGAGGAAGTATGGAAGAAGTGAATGTGTTCAGATATTTGGGAGTTGACTTGTCAGCAGATGGGTTTTGAAGGACAAAGTAAACCATAGAACTGATGAAGAAAAAGGGTGGGTGGTACATTGAGGTATCTGTGGAGACAAAGAATGTTATCCATGGATGCAAAGAAGGGAATGTATGAGAATATAGTAACACCAGCACTTATATGGGTTTGAAGCATGGGCTGTAAATGCTACAGCAAGGAGGAGGCTGGAGGCAGTGGAGATGTCATGTCTAAGGGCAGTGTGTGGTGTAAATATTATGCAGCGAATTCATAGTGTAGAAATTAGGAGGAGATGTGGAGTTACTGAAAGTATTATTCAGAGGACTGAGGAGGGGTTTTTGAGGTGGTTTAGTCATTTAGAGAGGATGGAGCAAAATAGGATGATTTGGAGGGTGTATAAATCTGTAGTGGAGGGGAGGAAGGTTAGGGGTCATCCTAGAAAAGGATGGAGGGAAGGGGAAAAAGAGGTTTTGTGTGCAAGGAGTTTGGACATACAGCAGGCATGTGTGAGCATGTTAGGATAGGAGTGAATGGAGACTAATGGTTTTTGGGACCTGATGAGCTGTTGGAGTGTGAGCAGGGTAATATTTCGTGAAGGGATTCAGGCAAACCAGTTAGCTGGACTTGAGTCCTGGAGGTGGGAAGTACAATGCCTGCACTTTAAAGGAGGAGTTTGGGATAACATAAGAACATAAGAATGGAGGAACACTGCAGAAGGCCTACTGGTCCATACAAGGCAAGTCCTTATCAAAACCACCACTACCCAAAGCTACCCAAGAATTTACTTCCATATGCACGACACCAATCAAACCCAGCCCCTCCCACTCATATTTGTCCAGTTTCTTTTTAAAGCCACCCAAGGTCCTAGTCTCGATCACCCTACTCGGAAGATTGTTCCACGCATCCACAACTCTGTTTGAAAACCAGTACTTACCTATGTCCTTTATAAATCTAAATTTACCAAACTTAAATCCGTTATTTTTGGTTCTTACCTGGTTCGACACCCTCAGTACTTTATTAATATATCCTTATTTTTGCCTGTCATCCACGTATAAACTCCGATGATATCTCTCCTCATTCTATGTCTCACCAGAGAGTGAAGATTCAAGGCTCTAAGTATCTTCATATGGGAGATTCCTTATACGGTAAATTGTTTTAGTCATTCTTCTCTGTATGTTCTCCAATGAATCTATATCCATCCTGTAGTAAGGAGACCAAAACTTGGCGGCATAATCCAAATGAGGCCTCACTAGTGATGTATAGAATTGTAAAATAACTTTTGGACTTCTGTTACTTATACGTCTTGAAATAAATCTTAGTAATCTGTTACCCTTACTGCACACACTTAGGCACTGCTGTCTTGGCTTCAGATTTCTGCTTACCATGACTCCCAAGTTTTTTTTCACATTCTGTATGATCAAGTTCTACTTCACCTAGTTTATAAATTCGAGTGTTATTTTCGTTATCAAGGACTAGGACTTTACACTTGCTCACACTGAAATTCATCTGCCACTTTTCAGACCAAGACATGAATTTATCCAAATCCTTCTGGAGTTCACTGGTATCCTCCTCAGAATGAATCATATGGATTATTTTTGTATCATCAGCAAATTTGCTCATGTCACTTGTAATTCCTTCATCAAGGTCAATAATGTAAATTATGACCAACACTGGGCCTAAAACTGATCCTTATGGAATGCCACTAGTGACTAAGCCCCATTCAGATTTGACCCAATTAATGGAAACTCTCTGCTTTCTATTGGTAAGCCATGCCTCTATCCATTGTAGAACTTTACCTCCTATACCATGAGCTGCCACTTAAGAGTCTCCTGTGAGGTACTCTATCGAAGGCTTCACTGAAATCCAAGGCTGTTTGGAGTGATATTTGAACTGTTGTATCGGAGCGCCTCTACAAAGGAGAGTGATTATGTGTGAATGATGGTGAGTGTTGAATGATGGTGAAAGTGTTTTTTTTCTCTTTTAGGTCACCCTGCCTTGGTGGGAGACAGCTGGCATGTTAAAATAAACACACACACGTGCACACAAATGCATGCACACGTGTGCACAAACACATGCACACAGGCATACGTACACGCACCCACAGTCACGAGTGTAACAGCCATAGCAGGGCTTCCTGAATTTTAGTGTTTTTAGGGCTTATTTATTATATAAAAGAGGTCAGTGATCATGGCAGGGTCAGTGAGCAACCCCACAAGTGAGAAACCAGGTTTACAAAGTGAGAATGGCAAGAGGAATACCACAGTTTCATAGAAAATTTGAAGTGCCAATATTTGGTAGAAGAGTGAAGGCAAGGAGGCCTACTGGGCAGGCACCACTGTTGCCTCTAGTGGTCATAATTATATAAATAATAACAGGACAAGTGGCAACCCCAAAGTGTGAGAGAGAGATAAGTGCAAAGACAGGTTAGATTACTGGGTGAGCAGCAAAGGAAGTAGACAGCAGATGAGAAAATAACAAAACCAAAAGAAACAAAACATAGCAAAAAACAGCAGCACTAGGCATCATTCTCAGGCATGTGGTGCTGCCCATAGCTAGGTTTTGTGTACAATACACAGAAAGAAGTGTAAATATCTGAACAGAAAAGTGAAAACCTTAGAGAGACTATTGGTGTACATACGAGTAAAGTTAACCTGTAAAAAGATATCAGCAATCCTACCATCATGTAAAACAATTACAGGCTTTCGTTTCACACTCACTTGGCAGGATGGTAGTACCCCCCTGGGTGCTTGCTGTCTACCAACCTACTACCTAAATATATATATCTTTCTTTCTTTCAACACACCGGCCGTGTCCCACCGAGGCGGGGTGGCCCAAAAGGAAAAACGAAAGTTTCTCCTTTTACATTTAGTAATATATACAGGAGAAGGGGTTACTAGCCCCTTGCTCCTGGCATTTTAGTTGCCTCTTACAACATGCATGGCTTATGGAGGAAGAATTCTGTTCCACTTCCCCATGGAGATAAGAGGAAATAAACAAGAACAAGAACTAGAAAGAAAATAGAAGAAAAGCCAGAGGGGTGTGTTTATATATGCTTGTACATGCATGTGTAGTGTGACCTAAGTGTAAGTAGAAGTAGCAAGACGTACCTGAAATCTTGCATGTTTATGAGACAGAAAAAAGACACCAGCAATCCTACCATCTTGTAAAATAATTACAGGTTTCCATTTTACACTCGCTTGGCAGGACGATAGTACCTCCCTGGGCAGCTGCTGTCTACCAACGTACTACCTATAAAATATATATATATATATATATATATATATATATATATATTATATATATATAATATATATATATATATATATATATATATATATATATATATTTTTTTTTTTTTTTTTTTTTTTTTTTTATCACACTGGCCGATTCCCACCAAGGCAGGGTGGCCCGAAAAAGAAAAACTTTCACCATCATTCACTCCATCACTGTCTTGCCAGAAGGGTGCTTTACACTACAGTTTTTAAACTGCAACATTAACACCCTCCTTCAGAGTGCAGGCACTGTACTTCTCATCTCCAGGACTCAAGTCCGGCCTGCCGGTTTCCCTGAATCCCTTCATAAATGTTACTTTGCTCACACTCCAACAGCACGTCAAGTATTAAAAACCATTTGTCTCCATTCACTCCTATCAAACACGCTCATGCATGCCTCCTGGAAGTCCAAGCCCCTCGCACACAAAACCTCCTTTACCCCCTCCCTCCAACCCTTCCTAGGCCGACCCCTACCCCGCCTTCCTTCCACTACAGACTGATACACTCTTGAAGTCATTCTGTTTCGCTCCATTCTCTCTACATGTCCGAACCACCTCAACAACCTTCCTCAGCCCTCTGGACAACAGTTTTGGTAATCCCGCACCTCCTCTTAACTTCCAAACTACGAATTCTCTGCATTATATTCACACCACACATTGCCCTCAGACATGACATCTCCACTGCCTCCAGCCTTCTCCTCGCTGCAACATTCATCACCCACGCTTCACACCCATATAAGAGCGTTGTAAAACTATACTCTCATACATTCCCCTCTTTGCCTCCAAGGACAAAGTTCTTTGTCTCCACAGACTCCTAAGTGCACCACTCACTCTTTTTCCCTCATCAATTCTATGATTCACCTCATCTTTCATAGACCCATCCGCTGACACGTCCACTCCCAAATATCTGAATACGTTCACCTCCTCCACACTCTCTCCCTCCAATCTGATATTCAATCTTTCATCACCTAATCTTTTTGTTATCCTCATGACCTTACTCTTTCCTGTATTCACCTTTAATTTTCTTCTTTTGCACACCCTACCAAATTCATCCCCCAATCTCTGCAACTTCTCTTCAGAATCTCCCAAGAGCACAGTGTCATCAGCAAAGAGCAGCTGTGACAACTCCCACTGTGTGTGTGATTCTTTATCTTTTAACTCCACGCCTCTTGCCAAGACCCTCGCATTTACTTCTCTTACAACCCATCTATAAATATATTAAACAACCACGGTGACATCACACATCCTTGTCTAAGGGCCCACTTTTACAGGAAAAAAATTTCCCTCTTTCCTACATACTCTAACTTGAGCCTCACTATCCTCGTAAAAACTCTTCACTGCTTTCAGTAACCTACCTCCTACACCATACACTTGCAACATCTGCCACATTGCCCCCCTATCCACCCTGTCATACGCCTTTT